CCCCGGTGCGGGGTATAGGGGTATTTAAACAAGCGCGCCCCGCCCCTGCGGCAAAGTGGGGGGGGGAAAGGAGGAAACCGCACACCTCGCTGCCAGCCACCCCATCCACTCTCTGCCCTAAGCACCCAGCCGCAACTCCCCCCCCCCAAAACGCCCCTTTCCGTAATGCCGCGCTCCGCGCCGCTGCTGCGGCTTTCGCTGTGTCTGTGCGTGGTCGCCGTGGCGACGTCGTCCGCGCTGCGGCCGGCCGCGCGCGTTCGGCGCAGGGACCAGTGCCCGATCAACAACGTGTGCTTCGCGATAGACCAGAGCGGGTCGGTCGAGGCGCACTACGGCACGGAGGTGGAGTTTGTCATCGGCATCGCGGCCGCGCTGGACAACCGCCGGCGCGACGTGCGCTACTCGGCCGTCGGCTTCTCGGACGTTGCCACTGTCATCGAGAAGGGCACGCAGAGGCTCCCGCTCTTCATCGCCTCGCTCGTCGGCATGGTGCCGCCCTTCGGACGCACCAACGTCTACGAGGGGCTCAGCGCTTGCTTCGCCCTCGTCGGCGACAGGAAGGGAAAGAACGTCATCATCGTCCTGTCCGACGGCGCCAGGACCGTCGGCAACCCCACCTCGGAGCTCGCGGGCGCCATCAACCGCAACGGATCCGCGGCTATCATGGCCGTTGGCATCGGCGCCGATGTCGACCACTCGCAGCTCACGCCCATCGTCGCCACGGCCAGCTTCTACTTCCCCAGCACCTTCAAAGAGCTCCCGCAAAAGGTTCCCGAGCTCGTCGACATCCTGTGCGGCTAGGCTAAGTAGCCAACTCGTCTTCGCATTGTAATAACTTTCTGCCGTGTAATTATTTTTTGCGTCGAGGGAATGCATCCCCTGCGCGCATGCTTCATAGTAAACTGGACATCATTATACAATATTTGCACAAAAAATTAATCCAATAAGTTTTAGACTTGGAACAACTCCCCCCACTTGCTCGGTTTTGCGCCTGCATGACCGCATGTCACCGTCCCCGTTCCGGGTACTTGCCATCATGCCCCGCCTTTCCTTGATCTTTTGTTCCTCACCTATGCTGTCTCCATCCATGTCGGATCCATGTCTGCCGTGGCCTCTCTCTGGGGATGTAATCGCATCGTTGGAGATTGAGTTTCTTTTGGCTGTGCAACGTTTCCGAACCATTTTCCACCCCACGTTCCACACACTCTGTTCCAACCTCTCTGATCCAAGCCTTTCGAACGTGTGCAGCAACTGCCTGCTGAGGGCCGTTCCTAACGACCGTTCCTAACGAAGAGTTCGCCGTGCCAGCACCCGAGCACCCTGAAACTTGGCATGAATTTATTGGTTGAAAAATTATTGGAAATGCTTTTACTCCCGTTCAACCAATCCATTCATGCCAAATGTCAGGGTCCTTGCGTGCTAGCACACCGAACTCTTCGTTAGGAACGGCCCTGAGTCGCAGCCGAAGTGTACTGTACAACCGGTGGCTATTTGCCATGACAACAATTTCTCTGACGCGGCTAATCTGTGAGGACAGCTGTGATGATACTGAGCCGCTCAATAAGGGAGCGGAGGGTCTCATGTCTCATGACACCGAAGGCCGGAACGCCATGGATGGAATGAAGAGCGGTTGACTTAATGTGTACCTTATCATAAATCTTACCTTACATCTTTATTTACAACAGAGCTAAGACCCGTTGTTGAGGAGTGGGTGAGGAGTGGGTGGAATATGGGAAATCCGCGACTAACAATTGTAGCCTCGGATAGGGGTCTTCGCGCGTTTGTCATACTAGGATTGTATAGCTTTAACGGGGTCAAAATCACAGGTTTTTGACTACATTGTACAGCATTTTTTCAGTGGGTGAGGAGAGAATGGTATTGGCGATCAGTCATTGGCGACGTGTACTTGGCAACAGCAAGAGGATTGAAATAATAAAACACAGTCAATAAGAGCGCTGCTCACGAGATATCCTACACAATCTTGATATTGACAATCTTGGCAAACCAATGGCGGCGTGCCATGGAAATCGGTAAGATTCTATCCTCTATCCCGCCATCGTCGAAAATAGATCACAAGCCAACTTGCAACAATTTTCTCATGCACCGCCCATGCAAGGTAATTTATTTCCTTCTTCCATGTTGAGCCATCCCGGCCTTTGGGGATGTGCGATGCGAGGCAACGCCCGCAACGAATGGAAAATCCGAGCTTGTTCGATACCCTCGCCGACATTCCAGGCATTGGTTTCCAACCACTTTGACGCTAACTTTGTGCACATGCTTCTCCTTTTCATTGGGTTCCGCACCTTGCAAGCTTCGACGAAGCGTTTTGGCAAAAACTACCCTTTTCTTACTAGGTTAATATTAACCTACCGGAATCGCATTCTCGTGACAAGGTTTTCAAGTCGTGTTAAGAGCTGAAGGCGCATCAACGAATCCGCGCCCCACGTGGAGTCGCATCCTTTTGGTTGCGATGGGTGTTTTCTTCTACGGTCTTTGATAGGAAATTCCAACACTGGAGTTTCACGCTATGGCCTGGTCCTGCTCCCAGGAGCAGGACCAACTACAGCTGTTCCGCTGGACAGGCCCCTCTGGTCATGTACAATATTCTCTGAATCGACAGCAGGGCTCTTTTCAACGTTGCCACTCAACTGCTAACCCTTCAAGGCTACTGTACCCCTCGTACACAGTACAGGGCGTCACAGGCGGGTTTTTTTTATAAAACCACACACGCCCCAAAAGTAAAGAGCGCCCACACACAAGTGCTCCACATATTCTAGTCCAACAAGCAACGCTTGTTCTACGAACACCTGCATTTCCTAATTCGTTCATGCCCATGTGCAAGATACGACAAACCGAACGCCGTTCGGTTAGGGTTTCAAGTTGAAACTTTCAACGGCAATCAATTCATCTTTGTCCTGTACTGTAGGAAGTTTGCGTGTCTCATACGACCTGCAGAGAATATCAAGACTAATTACAGAAAGGGATAGAAACTACCCTTCGAAGGGTAGTCTCACCGTTTTTTGTAACATTACCTTCCCTCAACTTTGTCTTGCCATCAGTGCATAATGGCTCCTCTCTCCTTTCCGTGGCTGTGAGCCCAAGTTTCTGTACCAAAAAAGACGACTACAGTACTCACAAACTTTGGCACGTGCACGACGAGAATCGCAATCACGTGAGATAGGATTTCGGCGTAGGTCTTGAAGCTCGCATCAACTGTTATCTCAGCGTGGCTGCATATCTGAGTCCGCCGCTATACGCTATGAATGTCCTTTTTTGTACCTTTTTAGCACCTTTTTTGTGCCATGCTCACACCTGCACTATTCAGGGATGCTTTTAAACACGCGACACCACGCCAGGGCATGAACAAGAACTTGGACCGTAGAAGACACTTTTACATACCGATATCTTTTTTCTTGGTTGTTTCTATCTTACCATATCCTTACGTACTGCCGTCTTGCTCCACATTTACCGCTCACACATGTTAATCTTATAACAAGAGAGCAGCAAAAGATCCTGGACACCTTGGTGCTACGTAACACCGCTTAATCATGTTTTGTCACCGCAGGGAAAGCGGTGCCTTTGCAATATTTTAATATTTTGTCCTGTTGCGCACAGCCGTAACCCACCCATGTGCCAGCATTGGCATTGTGGATGTTGACTTTTTCATTGTCATCATTGACAAGAGAGGGGGGGTGGCAACAACACGCTACGCATGCGCTAGTGCGTCCCCAACATGCCCTATTTTGCACTTTGATAACTAAAGAGTGAATACCTCGGCTTCGCTCGCCACGCAACGAGAAACGTAACCCTCCACCCTTCGCCACCCCGTGAAGCTAAAAGGTATCTCCATTTTCTCCTTCCTTTCGTGTTCTGAACAACCTCAAGCGAGAAGAACCATTACATGTCGGGACGCTGACACGCATTGGAAGACAGTCCCAGGTATGTGTCCGTTCTTCCCTCAGCGGATTAGAAGTCCGAGAATACATCATCCTGCTTGACACTGCGCGTGGACAATTGGCTTCACACATCCGTGTGCAAAGTCTTCTGTCTCCGAACTTCGCGAAATCTTCATATTTTACTGCAGTCTGTGTGCTCCCCGGAAAGAGCGTGCTCATTAGCTCACAATTGTGGCCAAATCCTTCGTCTGACCTTTTCACACTTTGCCCTTCAAATCGCAGCCCCCTCTCTCGTTTCACTATATATCGCCGACAAGAGTCTCCCGAGACATCGCCTCTCGCACATCATCTTCACAGCTGTCGCTGAATATGACTACTACCATGGCAATTCGAGTTTTTGTCCTGGTTTCCCTTTTGCTTGCAGTCTTAGGCGCTGGTCGCCAGCCGAAAGATGAGATGCTCACCGAATTGGATCAACGAAATGGACAAGTTCTTGAAAGGTCGTCAACGCACACGTTCCGTAGTTCACCTCGCAGGAAGACTAAATATAACAACTATTATCCAAACTACAACCATAACAAGAGCCAGCAGAGACCGTCTACCTCACCTGTGGCAGTCTTGAGCCCATCCTCATCTGCCAATCCTGCGAATCCGAGTTCATCTCCTTCGTCTGAGGCTGCAGCAGCTCAGTCATCTGGGCCGGTAGCAGCTCAGTCATCCGGGCCGGCAGCAGCTCAGTCATCTGGGCCGGCAGCAGCTCAGTCATCCGGGCCGGCGGCATCTCCGTCATCTGAGCCAGCAGCATCTCCGTCATCTGAACCGACAACATCTTCGTCATCCGCGCCCTCATCTGCCCCGTCTTCGGAGCCGACATCATCTCCGTCATCTGCGCCAACATCTCTCTCACCGCCTATCCCTGCTGCAACTCCAGCGTCAGCACCAGCCTCCATCGAGGACGACGGGTTTGTTATCCAAGAGAGCACTGTGAGGTTCTTTCCGCTGAGCCGGATAGGACTTTCAGTCACTACGGGAGCATCTGCGACCCTGTCATTCGACATCCCAGTTACAGCTGTCCATGCCAGCGTTCTGGCAGCCATGGATGAACCTTTCAAGACCACATTAGTCGGAGGGGAGGTGGCTCAGTATGAGGCTCTCGTGACCGAGTACGAAGAATCACTAGACATTCCGTTCATGGAATTTCTTAACGCCAATTTAGCTACGGATGTGTCGCTTTCGGATTTGAGAGAAGGATGTGACAGTGTGGAGAATTGTCCGTCAAAGACACGTGCGGGTAGAAGGATCTTGGAGAATCAGCTACCGACGAGAGTGCGCCTCACTGGAGAAATAACTGCAAGTGGAACGAGCGCCGTTCCCACCACCGTCTTTCCATTATTCCGCGCCGCAGATGTCCTTCTCTCGAACGGAGAACGTGTAGTAATCATATCGTCGAATCCCTCTGATGTATCCGTCGGCACAGGAGACGGTACAATCCTGAGCTCGGGAGCAGATTCGTACACTGTCAGGGAGGAATGATAGCAACAATACTACCGGAGACCGTTTTTCTTAGCGCCTTGGATAGCTCTGCACTAAAAATTAGTTCCATCACAACGGGACAATGACGAACAAAGTTTGTTGCAAACCTCGTTAAGAGTAGTCGATTTTAAAGTACTTGTGAGACTGTAAGGTGCTACACACACTTATTCGCTATGCAAGGTCGCAATGTTTTCAAGAACTAAAATTCCTTCTGAGCTACACCAATCGGCCCTTTTCTTCATGTGAACTTACTTTCCAAGAAGAGAACGGAACGGGCAGAAGTTTTTCCCAAACAAATCACTGCTCATCTTCATCATATCGTGAATAGGGCTATGCATATCGTAAGAGAGTCCTGGATGTTACAGTACGATTTGATCAAGTGGCACGATTTTTTCGCTAGTCCCTCCACTTCATACCGGACGAATCGGAGCTGTAAACACGTTGACAGATTTACCAAGATCTCACCTCGATGTGGCTCAATTGCGACGAACAGAAAGAATCAAGATTCATGCGGACCGAATGAAGTAGATGTACATCATGTATTGCGCCGGTCTTGCGCAGAAATGTGTCTGCGCTTTTACTTTACTACGCTAATTTGGTGTAAATCTACTCCCCAGATGTTAGTGACGTTGTGCAATCTAAAGGCTGGACTTTGTGTAGGGAGCTGGGAGTCAAAGAGTAAATATATCCCTGTCCAAGCCATTCAGGGGCACATGTCGGGGAATTACTCCTCAGGCACAGGGGCGCTTTCGGTGGTGAAGCCCTCGGCAGTTGCTGCGACGATGTCCTTAGGATCGGTCGACACCACAACAACAGAGGTCCCGTTATTGAGCTGCACTTGGGCAACCTTCGCGAAGGGAAAGAACGTCTTCGGAATGATACTGTTCCCTGAGACCATGATAGAACCAGAGAGAGTCAGCATCGTCGGAGGGTCAGCTGTCAAGACGTTCCTGGCGGCCCTGGCCTTGCTATTGTAATTGCTTTGAGAATTGAACGACTCGGTAAGGTCATCGCGAGTAACGTTCATGTCGAGGTTAGCGCCAATAGTCTCCATAAACGGCATGTTCAAACCACCTGAGTAGTTTCTAACAAGCTCTGTGTAAGATACATTCTCCTCCATTGTGAGTCGTCTCCTGAACACCACAGAATTCTCCTGAAGAAGAGTTGCGTTTAAAGCCTCTATTGAAAAGGAGAAGCCGAGTGATGCTCCTGCGCCGCTGGTGACGGACACGCCAGCACCAGAAATGCGAGTGAACCCAACGGTGCTGTTCCTGAAAACGAAGAGCGGCTGCTTCTCCATGGGAGGCTCCGATTCTGGTGATGTGGGTATCAAATCAGCCAGGATCTCCCCGTCCATCTCCATCTTCGCGGAAAGATTCAACAGAGGGAGTTGGTTGGAAGCGCGGATACCATCAGTCTTGTGGAGAGGGGACACGATGGAGGCCTTGGCAAGGGCCAGGAGGGCAACCAGAGCGATTACATTGACAATCGATACCATGTTGTGTTAGAGGCTTGGGATTAGCACAGTTGCGGGGAAGGAGCCTTGTTGAATTTGAAAGGGAACGAGGTGGTGTACAGGAACCTTCGTGGAGGGCAGATCGTTTTCTGTTTATGTACCGGTGAGAGCTAAGGGATCTTGGCGTGGGGTTGGAATGGGCGCGGAAAGGTAGAAATCAGAATAAAGAGTGATGGAGAACAGACAGGCAGGATAAAAAAAGGAACGTGCAGGGATGTGCCTTACGTCGTGGAGCAGGGCATTGCCCTGATGGCTCGTGGACCTGCGAGAATGCGTGGAGAAAGTGACGATGATATGAGATTGGAACCATCTGTTCGATTGGATGAGGCCAAGGACGGCGAGTGAGGTCCAAGTCTCCGTACCTCCGTGTTGCCTCCCCCCTCCGTCGGAAGCAGTCGTACAGAAGGCACAGCCATAAGAGCTTCGTCGGTCCTGCGAACAATGAATCAGTATATTTGGCCCGAATGAAAGTCTCTGGTGGCATACCAGCAATGCAACTATTTTCGTGTGCATGTATAGCAGCGAGGACAACCAGACTGCACCCCACTTACGGCCAGGCGCCTTCACCTACCTCCGCTCACCGTCGTGAATGAATGCAAAGCATAGGTTCTCCATGCTCGACTTCATGCGAGAGAAGCTCTCTCTGTAGGTCTTGCAAAGCCACGACCCCAATCATTTCCATCTCCCAGTTAGCAGACAGCCCAAACTGTCGTCGAAAGGCTGTAGTGTATCAAAACGTCGTTTAGGCTACTACGTTATGAGTATATTGATATGAAATTGGGAGCACTTTCCCTCACCGGAGGGGTCAGAAGCCAGATGATCAGACGCGTCGCGCGTCTTCTTTCTATTTGGATACGCCAAGTTAAACCAACTTTTCGCCCTACAACAACCACCGCCCCCCCCCCCCCCCCCACTCAAATTTGCACCTGAGGCACACAACACGAACATGTTCTGGCAGCGCAAAGTTTCTCGGCGGTTCGTCTGGATTGGGTAACGACGAAGAAATTGTATAAGAACGCCAATTAATTCTTTACATCCAAAGTCTTGGTGCAGCGAATAAAAAAGCCACACCATTACTACTTTGTGTAAGCGTGCCACTTGCCAGCGTGTGCTTTGGCCGCTTGTCGGCCGCATGGAACAATAGCTTGTCTTATCCTCCGTTCCGCCTTCATCCACAGCTGTTCCCAGGTTCCGAATAATTTCCGCCTCGCCTTACTCCTTGGTGGAAACACATCGCTGTACAGTAAATTATGTAACACCGTATTTTTTAAAAAGCTAAATGCATGAGGTGATGGCATCAAATGTATGTCATCTTTTCTCATCACTGTGGTGAAAATGTGCTTGACAATGATCACAGGGAAGACATAAACGCATTAAAGCTGCGTCTCATTCGAAATGGTATAATAAAATATAATTTCGTAGATGAGACAGGATCGAGGGACTCTACATCATTTTTAAATCGTCATATCATGTTTACACTCTGCACCTTTTCTTGAATTTCCTTCTGCATTCATGTCAATCTCTGGGCAGTACCGCTGACAATTAAAGAAATTTCTGGACATGGCCGTCATAATGACCACGTAAATGGACATCAGCGTAAACAGTGAGATTTAACTGCAGTTCGGTGTTACGAGTTACTACAATACGACATGGTCGCCGCAGTTGATCTAGGAGTGGTTAAAAGTGGACATATAAAAGTATGGCAAAACGGTGCTGGTGCTCAAATAGTAATGGCAATGCAGGCGGCAATGCTTCGCAATGGAAAACGGTGGTTTTATAATGTATAATGGCGGAGGGAGAACATAGCTGACATGAAATGGCAAATGATGTATACTGCAGAAGCGAATGGCCAAGGTAGGGCGCTGTCGGGTGCGACACACTCGTAAGTATGGGTATCGACGGCGGTGGTGAATGTCCGACGGCGACGGGAATATGTCAAATCGTATTGGCAGGAGGTCCGCATATTTCATGCAATGGCAATGAGTCAACATAATCCTCAACATGAAAGCGAATCACTGTACACAATTTACATTTTAGTCTTTTTCGGTCATCAGCACACCATAATTTCTGGGATAGCAGTACACATCACAATTTTAATGGAACTTGGTGTCACACATCCTGGATTTTCATTGCAAACAGTGCATTTCAACTCCCATTTTTTTCGAAACGATACACATAGCGAAATTAATTGGCGGCTGCGGTCCATTCTCGGACTTCATCGGTAATCGGTACACCAAACCTGGCGGTGACAATACGAAGAGGCGAATATTTCGGCATTTTGTTGCGAAATGTATGTAAGAATATTCCCGTCGCCGTCGGACATTCACCACCGCCGTCGATACCCATACTTACGAGTGTGTCGCACCCGACAGCGCCCTACCTTGGCCATTCGCTTCTGCAGTATACATCATTTGCCATTTCATGTCAGCTATGTTCTCCCTCCGCCATTATACATTATAAAACCACCGTTTTCCATTGCGAAGCATTGCCGCCTGCATTGCCATTACTATTTGAGCACCAGCACCGTTTTGCCATACTTTTATATGTCCACTTTTAACCACTCCTAGATCAACTGCGGCGACCATGTCGTATAGTAGTAACTCGTAACACCGAACTGCAGTTAAATCTCACTGTTTACGCTGATGTCCATTTACGTGGTCATTATGACGGCCATGTCCAGAAATTCCCATCTTTTTAATAGGCTGTTGCACGCTGCACAAGGAAAAGACCTAAATTGAGTCTGTGATAGTAGGGGATGGGAAGTTTTGAGTTGCAAGCCAATACTAAGAGATCTTTTGTTGTATTTTCCGGAGATGGAACCAGATTCAAAAAGATGCTCCTGCGGACTACATAGAAATTAATAACTTAGAACTGCATGAAAGACGTGACCAAGATATTTGAAACTTGGGAGAGCAGGTATGATGTAAGTTCTTGTCCTAAAGGTCAAAATGAAATCCCCTATATTCTTTCAACGTGAGTGCAATTTTCCAAAGCACGTTCAACTATGCTTAGTGTCTATAGGACCGTTTGTCCTGATATGAGGATTTTTTTATCTTCTGTGTTTTGTAAACAGAAGGCCATTACTACAGATAAAGAACGTGGTTGTTGATTCTAGTGTCTATCCGACCGGGGCTTGTTCTCATATGAGGACGGCGGTGTCCCATATAAGGACAGCTCTATTTTTGAAAAAATATATATACATTAAATTGATCATTTAAAAAGCTATCTTGGACACCATTTCCTTAACGCACTTGTATTTGCCAATAACATCTTGCAGAACAGCGGGACTTCAGCTTTGAATACTCAGGAAGATTGAGAATGTAATTCACACTATGTACATGATTCCCTTGTTAAAATGGTGTTTTTGGTTTCGAAGTTATTTTACATGGGGTTTTACGATGGTTTAAAAAGCTTCTTTTCCAGACATATCTAAAAATGACTACGAAAAACATGCAATTCTCACAAAGTTCTTTCTGTCCCCATGTCATAATTCAAGTACGGTGGCGGGGATATCTTTTCTTTCTGGTCGACGATGCGGAAGTCAAGAAGAAAATAGGTTGAATAATGTCATCATATAAGGACAAAAGCTTCTCATTTTTTCTAGACAACGCAAAGCAATATTTAACATATATTTTTTGAAACTATAAATCCACCCACACAAGAAACGCACCTTCTCGTCAATTCGAGCGAAAACTAAATCGCTGACGCACATAAAGGTGTTCAAAAGAAAACGTCAGCTTACTGTAAGTATATTTCTGTGGGCTAATTTTATATCAATACCATAGAAACATTCCGTAGAGTGCTTTCTATTCCGTTCTAACTTCAGAAAAGTTATAAAAGGAGTGAACCTCTAAAAGAAAAAATGAAACCGTGGACATCAAAGTTGAATAGAAATAAAATTCGAAGATTTATATGTTATGATAACAATTGGTCGGATAAGCACCAGCTAGGCGACCATTGACCTCATATGAGAGAAGGCATCCCTTTTTGTCGTGTGTATGTGGTTCCATCCAGATAGGTCAGCACAGTAGATAAGACACAGGCACATAGGGCACGACAACTCAGCACATAAAGTTACCGCCGGCCGCCCTCCCCCCAGGGGAGAGAGGGCCATCGGTGTTCATGGCATCACAAGTTATGAGCCACACAACTAACCACTGACATAGATCCGTCCAACATGCACCCTCGCCACCGGGACGAAAAAAACGCGAACGACGACGAGCAGCGCTGACAGAAAACCGCACCACTAATGCGACAACTAACCCGCCTCGTTCTCACAACGCACGCAGATCTCTACATGAGTCAACCCGTGAGCCACCCCCAGGGACAACTTCCTAAGCTATTGACCACCAACTTCCCATTCTGGTACGATGCACTTGAGATCTATGCACGCACCATTGATGCGCAATCCCATCTCACCAACACGAGACAAGCAGAAGCAGACCCCGCCGAAGAAACACAACAGCAACAAAAAGGCGATCTGCTGCGCCAATCCATTATGCAAAAGCATGAGAGACGAGACCATCAGACTCGTCCCGCCACACATCCTACGGTACGACCCCCATACCATTTGTAGTATAATCAGACAAAATATAGACATTTCATCCATCGAGAACCACGAGATCCTGGACGCCGAGGCAAGGAACGAAACATTCCGTCCGAACCAAGAGCTCACAGAATACATCCAAAAGCACCAAGACATCCGACACCGCATGAAAATATCCGGCTATCCGAACATCGACTCGGAAAGGACGACAGTGCGATACATGATCCATAGACTGTCCCAACACCCAGAAATACACACCGTAGCCATAATAATGGCGACACACTCACCCAACACGATCAGAGAATTCACAAACACCATCCAACAAGCACAGATCATACAAGCACGAGCACCGCCAGCACAGAGCGCCAGCAGCTACAAATATCCACGGAAAACGTACACACGCCAACCCCGTTGATACCCCCGACCGCTCAAAGCG